GGCAACAGAATTAGCACGACAGCGGGAGTTAGCCAACGAATCTCTGAAAAAGCGCTTTAACGTGCCTGTACTGCAGTCAGTGAACGAAACGCTGGGCGATGAAGGCGACTACGTTCCTTCGCCCGTACTTACTGTTGGAGATTATTTGAGGCGAAAAATTCAACAAAACGAACTTCCAGTAATTTTTACTATACCTTTTAGTTGTACTTGAGTAGCAGAACTTATAAGCAAGCAGCGGAAACATGTGAGTCCTGGAAATTTTAGCTTTTTTCGATCGAAATTATCTCGGACTAAATAATATGTTTGTTGTTGTTCTTATTTGCATTTTTATCATCATTATCATTAATGTCAAGGCGATTACTTATTATTATTATTGTTTAATATTTTATAAGTTGTTATTACCGTGTCAATAATTACGGTTACTATTACCGCTATCAATAATCACGATTATTATTACCGCTATCAATAATTACGATTAATTTTCGCCCTACTGTACTATTCCGGTGATTTTATTGTGACAGGATTGAAATATTTTAGTGCATTATACTGATTTTATTTCAGCATAACTTCGTTAAATGATATATTTGCTATGTAGAATTCGGTTATATTTTAGCAATAATTTCTAGCTGTCCAGTTGTGTCAGTGTTGTGAGGAAAGCGAGTGTTGAGAGGAGAACGAGTGAAGGGAGGAAAACGAGTGAAAAGAGGAAAACAAGTGAAGAGAATTCATTTTATCAGGAAGAATTGGCGCTAAAAGAAACCGAAGAGATGCTTCGCCGCATTGATGAATGCATCGAATCAGTATGCGCATCAGCTCGAAGCTTCTCCGAGCAAAATCCGGAGGTAAATTTTTGATGTACGCGGCGCTCCATTTTTATTTATTTTTTATCGTACCATTTCCATTATTTTTTGTGAGCGTTTATATGTATGCCTAATTCTAGAGAATCATGATATATATGCATATGTGTATATCATGATTCTCTGGGATTAGGCATATATTTATTATTTATTTATTTATATAAACGTTCTATATCATGATTCTCTGGGATTAGATGAAGGAAGGCATTTGTCTTGCTCCTCACTTTGCTTTGCCTCATCCCAGAGAATCATGAGCGACACTGCATTTTCATTACTTTTCGTGTTCCTACAGTTTTGCATCTCCTGAAAGCCAACCTGAGAGAAGAGGATTCCGACGTGGATTGTTAAAGTAAACATGGTTTTCTTATAGTTTCAGCACAGCGGCAATGCTAATGACTTCCTTTTCATGGATTGCTGTGAAATTGGTTTGTTTACTTTGCAGTGAAAAAGAAAAGCGAATCAAAAAAAAGGTCTAAAATTGACATAGGATTGAATCTTGAGCAATTTCTTGCGTGTCATGAGAAGATTATCATAAATCGTTGAGAAATAATCTCGCTTCGTAGATTATTTACTGATCCTGAGATTTCTGCTTATCAGAACTAATTTAGAAGCAGATTGCCGTGGAATCCGTTGAGTCAAGAAAAGAGGACAACACAGCGACAGATATTTCATGTTAGTTTTTATGCTGCTTTTTGTGCTGTGCAACAGAAATTGACGTGGTAAAGGAAAAATTGGCGTGCCTGATTAAATTGATCGTTAAATTTTAACTGCATTAAGGTTCCACGAGGGCGCTGAATATAGCTGTGAAGTGTGTGCTGAACGAAATCGTTGATGAAGTTGCCGGTGATAAAGTCGATGAACGGAGACGAAGAAAACGAGCGAGACCTACTAAAGAGAGCACAGCAGTGGAAGGAAAACAATGGAGACCAAGTAAAAGGCTGCAAAAATTCCTGAAGGATCTGGAAAGCGATGAATATGTAACTCAGCCACCCGCAAAAACCCAAAAACGCAACAGTCCTAGAAATGCTGCTGAGGTGCAACGGAAACGGCGAAAACCATCCAAAACTGATAAGGGAGAAACAGAAAGCAGTTTCATTGGAGATTCAAGTTCCACATCCACGAGTACTTCACTGCACTACGGCGAATTTAATTTTGATTTTGAGGAATAATTGATATTTCAACCAGAATTGATTGAAAGTATTCTGTAAGCGAAGTACTTGATCAGAGAATCTTGATTTGATATTTGCTTAGATCCAGCGAGAAGTGAAGAAAATTGACTAATACATAAGCTTATCCTTACTAAAGGTATTCTTTTCCTGGATGTCGCTATGAGAGCTACCTGGAATCTTCTATAAATGTTCCATGAAATTTTAAAAACGAAAATATGTAGAGGATGCTTTTGTGATGAAGATTTAAGAGTTTGTATATGGGATTTTGCGATATTTTTGAGTAGAGAAAACTGGAATAGAAGATCATTTCATGCTATTCGTTTGAAGTATTAAACAGACTTTTCAGGGTTTTTTTTT